GAACCCAGTTGATCACTTCAAGAGGAATCCTTGAGCCTGATTCCCTATCGTTTCCGCTTGAGGTTTTCTGACCGCTTCCCAAAGTCCGGTGAGACTTTGGGATGCATGGGCCCCCTTTGGCACGCCACAAATAAGCTGCGGCCAGAATATGTGGGGAATTGCACGCTGATCTGGATCTTTAGCATATGAATCAAGACCCAAGAAGATGCTACAGAACCAAATCAGCTGGTCCTGCCGCCAGCCGACTGCATTCGGTCCAATTCGGTCCATGGTGCTTGGGATGCTGTGCCTGGCGTCAGGCAAGGACTTAAAAAGGCGCGTGTCAAAATTCGGGACACCTGATAGTTATGGTCATCTGTGTCCTTTTTGGTTGTTTTGGTAGAAAGATAGATGGCCCTGGTTTACCTGATAATTTTATCATCTACCAGGGCCATCTATTCGCCCTAAAAGGACACCTATGGTTAGTGTCCTTTGTTGCTTTTAACCATTTAATCATTTCCCCTATGAGACCGCAGGCGGCTTCCCCGGTCATGTGGTCAGGCCATATTGAAATTGGCCCAGTGCAAGTGGGAGTGTGCCACAAAGGCGGCATGCTCCATGTGGGGTGCCGGCCCTTATAGGGCGATCAACAGACTTCAACATCGCAATTTGGGACTCTTTTTGCAGGTGGTTCAAAAAAGGGTCAAGTTTGACACACCCCGATTTTAGCCTTATTCCCTGAGTTCGTGGACGTGGATTGTCCTACTTTTGGGCAGAGGTACCCCGGACCGTTTTTGGCCATTCGGGGTTCCCCACGTGGGGAAACTGGGGCCAAAGGGGGCGTCGGACATCGATCGAAATATGTCTGAGGTGGGTCAGGCGGTTCCAACTGCCATGCCCGGGCACCCAGCAGACTTCAGCCGTTTTTTTTTTTTTTGTGGGGCGTGTCTCCCTTCATTGGCGCATTTAGAGGGGGTCCAGGGATCCAGATCCAGGTGGCTTGACATACAGTAGCTGTACCCTGGTTCTCTTGGGTGTTCGTGGTTTGAGCTTGGTGGAAACCATCTCGGACCACAAGAACCCATGCTTGTGTCTTGCAATGTGTTCAGAGCCCCCTATTTCGCACGATTCCTGAGCCCAGTTTGGTGAATGGCAGTCAGTGCACGGCACGGGGAGAGAGGGATAGATTTAGGGGCTACAAAGGCCTCGGTCGCCGGCTGGTCAGAAAGGGCTTATGACCTGCCTGCTTGTCGTCGGGGCTTCAAGGGATGTGCAGATTCCTCAACAAAAAGTCCCGCGGAAACGGGGCGTTCGCCACAATTTGGATCTGGGCTGCGGGGTGCGAAGCCGAACTCAGCCAGCAATTGTTGAGCCCCTCATGCGGGCATCGGGCATGTGCCTCGATGGGTAGCTCTTTTCGGATGATGGCAGATACACAAGTGGAAAATCCTCAAGGCTGGAACGTTGACGAAGGAGCACACTAACTCAAAAGGTTGCTGGACGGACCCCGCAAAAGGTTGAAGTGTGCTCAAATTCGGAAAACCCCATCGATTTCAACGAAAAATTGGTTGAAGTCTAAAGACCCACTCGCCAATAGCAATCAACGACTGTCTAGGTCCCCAGTAGTGCCCTTTCTCATCGTCTAAAATAGACTGCAGAAAAAATCGGGTACCCTGATTCTAACCTCTCTACTGGAGGACCTGGCTGTGTACCCATCCAACACCCATAGTGAACCTCTCTATGGCATCAGGTTGCTGGCAAACTCAACTTTCAGGGCAAAGCGCCTTGGGCTAGCTGGCCACAGACTGTTTTGATCGCCCCGAACTGGGTTTGTTGAACGTTTGGCATCACCTTTACCCTTACCCGCCCATCGACTAACATGGAAGTACGCAACCCCCCCTGTCCAAGATCCCCCCGCCCGGTGGGGAGTATTCGTGACGGCGAACTCTTGAACAATGCCAGTTTCTTTACAAAAGTCTTGGCAATAGTGGGCCATATATTCGCCCCCTTTGTCACACCTTCAAACAAACAAAAAGCTCGCAACACAGAGAAAGCTGAAAGTGAAGGCGGAGCAGATAAAGCGGCGGGTGCACGAAAACACAGAGAAATAACAACCCCGGCCTCGGTCTGGGATTTCTGATTCTAGCTGTTGGCCTGGCCAGGCCCACAGCGCCAGTGGCGAGCTTAGCGGGGCACCCCCCTCAAGCTGTTCACACCTAGGGGCTGGAGAGCCATGGGTTGGTCGTGGTATGCAATGCTCTTTGCGGTTTTTTTGACCGTAAGACACTTCTTGATGCCAGATCAGGACCGTTTGTCCATATGTTTTTTTTTTCTACATTCAGGAGGCCAAGACCTTTCCCAGCGTTTCAGTGGCGACCTTCCCTTGAACAGATGGTCACCCACCAAACGAGGAATGGTTCCACTTCTTTTATCTACTTGGACAGGTTTGATGCAGGTGAGGCTCACCCGGTCCGCTGTGGATGAAATCCACGCATCCACGCCGATGGGCACCAGTTGGGTTTCAGGGCTTCATCCACTCCAACTGTTGCGAAGCGGATTTTGTCCATCCAGCACCCCCCCCCCAAGCACTGCTTTTTGGCCTTGGGATTCTGGACATGCTCGGAACAGCCGGCAAGTTGTGTGCTGGTGGGCAGAGGCGTTTTGGGCTGCCAAAGTGGGATGGCCTGAGAGGCTGCACCTGAGGCGCCGCTACTTCTCCCAGGGCTACCGCCGGGGGCGCCTTCCCTGCATTTGGGATTGGTGCAAAAGTGGCAGCTCCAGCTTTGGTCTCAACAAAAATGCGGTTTTTGACCTGAGCTCCAGGCCCCCCCCCCCCTCCCTCCATTTTCGCACCTGGCCCTTGTAATCCTGGACCCCTTCCCTTGCCAAATCGCCAATATGTTGATTCCGGATTTGGGTTGGCCAGCCCTCCATTTTGAGCCGCCGGAGACCTCTTCTGGTTGAAGCCGCGAATCGAAGCAGGTCCGCAGCAAGCCCAACACCTGGAGATGTAAACCGTCCATGTGCCTTCTAACGGCTAGCTTTCAGGCAAATGGAGTGGCCACGCCACCTCAACACGTATGGAGTTGAGCCTCTGCCATGACCAAGATATCACAATCATCTTCGAGTTTTGGGAGTCGGCTCCAAATGGACAAGAACGGAGGCCATTTGCCATTGAAGTTGTTTGGTAACCCCACAAGCGGTCGGCGTTCCGGTCTTGGGGTGGGGTGCGGGGGCGGGGGGATTCTTTGGCACACAAAATTGTGAAGCTCGCCAGGACATGAAGAAACCCTTGCAACATCTTGCAGCCAAAGGCCTCTGCTTTTGTTTTTGTTCAATTTATCGTATTTTTGCTTGCTGGTGCGATAGCTAGGGAATGACCGAGCCCAGGTGAAAATGAACCGGAAGGGGGATTCCCTTGGCAAATTTAGAGCTGGCTGCTGTTGGGGTGATGTTTGCCGGGGGGAAATTGGGAAGTCCTTCTGGACTTGAAGTGGCCGGACGCCTTGGACATGATCAGCATCTAGCTACCTAATGGCAAGCTCACCATGGTGTAGGCCCTTTTCTTTTCTTGGGGATCCCATTCAAATATGTCACTTCAAAATTGGATTTGTCGTAATTGCAGTTTATGCTTCACCAACCGCTTATGGTGCCATTTCCCATTTGCTCCCAGCCAGACTGAATCGACCGTGTTGCCTTGTGTCGTGGTTTCCCGTGTTTTTTTTTTGGACCAGCGAACAAGCTTATAACTTTTTGCAGGAATCGAAGTCTCAGTGACAGTCTGGGCCACTTCAGCCATACACGCGGCTCTGGTTCATTTGGAGGTGATGCCCTTGATGATGCCTGGCACGCCCCCTTTGCTTTTCAGCGCTGGGCGGGATGGCGCATGGCGGGTGGCAGGGTGCTGAATCAGCATCGACTTTGCTGAAAGCGTTCTCCAGGTGCTTTTGGTTTTTGGGTTCTTTTCTTTTTGTTTCGTAGGGTGCTACAAAAACAATGCGTTTCTTTTTCCCCATATGCCAAAGATTGGAAGGTTGGATACTAGCCCCGAAGTAGATGATGAGGGGGGGAACCCCAAGGCGGGTGGAGATCTGCAGAACCCTCTATGAGAGGACCCGCCATTGAGACAACCAGGACGCTGGATCAGCCCGGTCCTTCGTCCGAGACATTGTTTCAACCGCTGTTTTGTAGTACGCACTGGGGGCACACCACTACATTCACTGGGGGTGACCCCCCGTGCCGGGCTAAAACGAGATAAAGGGGGGTTCATCTATCTTGTCTTCGCAACAAATCATGGACTTGGCGTGAGTTCTGGAATTCCAGTTTTTGTTTCGTGCTCCCCTGGTAGGCAAGATTGGTTACCCCCAAGCTTCCTTTGTTCTGCTGTTCGTAAGGGGGTCAACCAATAATTGTAAGCAACACGTCATTTGCAACCACGCTCTGTTGATATAGATTGATCTCAAACTCACGGAACCCATGTTAAGAGCCTGATGGAAGTTACCTGAAGCTAGGGACATGTTGTATCCATGTGGCAGGCGAGAGGCCACGCCTCAATTTGCAGCCTGGATGCTTGCACCTGGTGCGAGCCAGAGCTTGCACAGATACCTGCTGTGCTTCCACTCTGCGCAGCAACCCATGACTTGACCAGGAATCACCTTTAAGTCATTCCAGTTGCCTTGCACTCCCATCCCCAGTTCGCACCAGTTCCAACCAGAAACGCGTCCCAGCTCCGCAGCTCCAGTTGGCTCAATGCTCGCCTTTGATTCGACCGGCCTCGAACGGCCAGCCAACACATCGAAGCCTTCGAAGCAAAGGACGAGTCGCAGAACTCGCCGAAGCCATCCCTATAGCTCTCAAGCAAGCGTGCAGCGGTCCCTCGGATCCGGAAGAGGACCATCCCGTCTCCTGGTCTTTTCCGGTCTTTTGGGCCCACCTGGTTGGATTGGCAAGCTCCACCTGCCTCGGGTTTCTGTCATTCGAGCCAAGGGTTGGGTCAGTCAGATCACTTCTACAGCCGGCGGGTTGGATTTTTGTTTGGTGTCGTTTGCCGCCATGGCTGCCTGAGGCTCCGAAGCGCGGGCCTGAAATCCGTCGCGCGAGAGAGCAGGGGCAGGGCAAAGGCAGCGTTGGATGGAAGGGGGAATGCGCAGAACGACCCACTCACTCTGGACTTCATACTTGTTGGAAAAGTGAATCCAATTCTAATTTGTGGAAAACAAATTGCGGCCATGACTCCGAAACGATAATCCCGGTTTCAAAATCAGGCACGGATCCTTATGCCATAGGGTTGTGGTTTCCCTCGTAGTGGGTGGCAGTGGGTCTTTTAGGGATGACGGATTACTACGGTTCCGTTAATCCTACACAAGGTGATTGCCTTTGGCACCCACCTGGAAGAGCAACCCAGTTCAGGCGTTGGTTTCTATCCCAACCATCTAGTGAGGTTTCTTTGTTTTGGTCGGGTGTCTGAGGTTTCTTTCATTTAGGGTTGATTTACTCAAGGCTTCTATTTAAAGGGGAAACAAGCGAACCTTTTTTTTTCGTGGCTGGAGATCGGTGTTGATTTAGGTGAGGTTTCTATTTATATAAAGGGGAAAATGCGAACCCAATTTTTTGTTTCGGCGGGTGGGATCGGTTGTTTCTTGAGGTGAGCTCGATTTCTTTTAAGGGGGAAAAATGCGACCCCAGCGGTGTCTTCCGAGATCCCCTTGTCGGGCGTTTGGATGCTCAAGCCCCGCGGTTTTAGTTTGGCGTCGCGAGGATGCACCCCTCGCAGCCATCGCTGGGGGGTCTTGGCGCCAACTCCACGGCCCGACACTCGAAGCGGAAGGCGAGAGTCGGCGTGGCTGAAATGATAGGAACCACTTAAAGGAGACGTTCTTCCAATTTTCGTACTTCCTGAGTTCCTGGACTTCAGTCACTTTTTGGGTTTGGACCATTTTTGGTGTAAATAACGAGTTGGGACGCTATTTGATCAATCCACTCGGGAAGTGAGTTTTATAGAAATCTCACCGCTTTGGGGGTAGAACGAGCTGCTTCCATTTGCTGAAACGACGCTGTTTTATCTTCTCCAGTTGGTTTCAAAGGGAATCCATCACTACTGGACATATGTTTCTCGTTTTTTCCAGGGTGCTTAAGCAAATGGAGGATTTGGGTACCATCCACATGGAACCCTTGAGCTGGGGTCGAACAAGTCAGAAACTGGGGAGGGGTTCCCTGGGTTTATGCCAGCTGGTGGTTGGAAGCGAGCCAAGGAGCAGGGGGTATCCTAATTTGCATTTCAAGAGGGAGCTAAGGAGCTACCATCGGCGCTGCGAGGAAATAGTAGCATTGTGTTGATTCTGCTTCCGGGGTCAAACTGAGAAGCTCGTTTGTGGTTTCCATGTAAGCTACGACTTAAGGGATGGCTTTGATAGTGGGTGAAATAATGGAACCCCTCAAAGGAGACATTTTCGTGAGGGTAGCCTTTTGTATTTTGGGGTTGGTTGATGCGGTGTTTCTCCAAAGTGCGGGCCATCCAAGAAGTGTTTTTTTTTTTTTTTTAACCGAGGTGCCCTTTCTGTGCCCTTTTTCAGAGTCTAACCTTAACTTCACTGTTCTTGGCATTTTTTTTTTTTAAATATAGTTTTTTGGTTGTGTTCATGTTTACTGGGGGTCTGCAAAGAAACAAAGTTGTTCGCTACCATACCAAGAGTAGAGATGTTAAACTCATTTGGTTGTCGGAAATCAATTGCTAGAATCCACAAGAACTTTTGGCCACCCGAAGGTGACAAGGAAACCAACGACTTCTGGCCCGTGGTGCCAATGGCCTCATTGGTCAAGTGCAAACACCTGTCTCAGATCACAACCCACACAACCTCGACCAGTGCCAAGTGCCAAGTGCCATGGTTCAACGGCCAATGTGGTGAACGCCTGCAAGCAGACGTGGTGTGGATCCGGGACTTGGGGCGGATCAGCCCATCCCTTCCATTTGCTTAAGGATATTTTTCATTTTTCCGTGTTGGTTTCAAAGGGAACCTATCACTACTGGAAATATATATATATATATATATTTTCCAGGGGTCTTAGCTAAATGGAAGATCCCATTTTGGGGAGTTGTGTGCCGCGACCAACTTCCAGCAGGCGATTTGAGCCGTTTCATGCTCACTCATCCACATCTTGGTCGGCCAGAAGCACCGTATGGCTCCAGGTTGTTGGATACCATTGTTCCCCCCCCTCCCTAGGCCCGGTTTAGCGTTGTGAGGGCAAACAAGTTGTTTTTTTGGCGGGGGGGGCAGGCTCCGAGTTGTGTTGAGGTAGGCCAAGAGAAACCGAGCATGTTGCAAGCTTGGAAACCCCACAACCCTCCACCGGCATAGGGCCCACCAGCTTCCCAGACTTGCTTGTTCACTTTCGATGTCTTCATTTTGGCTGCCGGCAAGTCTCAGCTTCCGGGTCATAGAGGCTTCCATAAAGGGAGTCTATCACTACTATTTGTTTTTCCGGGGGGCTTAAGCAAATGGCAGGAGGTTTTTCCGGAAGTTGCGGTCTCCAGGGACTCAACTTGAGCTCGTTGCTCCTCCTTCCTCGCAGCTCGGTTTGCTCGGGAGCCTGAGGCCGGGCTCATCCGCCGCCTGCGGGACAAGGGCCTGGAGGTGCCGCCAGGACGCTTCGGACCAGCCATCTTCCGGCGGGTGTTTGCGAGGTTTTGGAACGGCTTTCAAGAAGTGGCTGTGGGTCAAAAATAGTAAAATGGGTTGCCCTGGTAAGTGGCAACAGCCAAAACCTGGTGGTTTAATCTTGACCCACACCCAAGTAGCCCTTCCCACGAACCGAAGGCATGTGCGGGAGCGCGCCTGGAAGATCACTTTCCGCTTTAAGGGGCCCTTGGTCTGGCGCCATGTTTCGTGGGCGGCGGGGATTTGAAGCTTTGGGGGGGGGTTCGGCCGGCACCCACGCACACAGGTATGCGAGTCTTGCAATGGACCCCCAATTGGATGGTCCCCCAAGAAAGCCATGATTTGCAAGAAGAGGCACAGTCGTTTGGTTTTCCCTTGGTTTGCCCACACTTTGGTTTTCCTTGAACTTTCTCCTTGCTTCCCCCTCTCGTTGCTTTTGGTGTTCCATTGGTTTTAGCATGGGATTTGCCTTGTCTTCGAGCTGGTTTTGACACTTGGCCATGAGTGCTGCGCCTGGTGGCTCCCAGCCATCCACTTCCTTAGCTTTTTAGGTTTGGTGGGCATGGGTCAAAATTCAACCAACAGGGGGCCGCAGGTTTTGGTGCTTGGTTCCATTTTACCCGGGTTCCATTTTGGGTACCCATTTTTGACCCACAGCCATTTATCCCACTAAAGGTTGGCTCACTTCTCGCAGGGTCTTCAACTTTTCGTCAGCTTCGGCGCTCTCAGGAGCTTCACCTGCACATCTACGGGCCCTGCTGGAGGAGGGGAAGATGGGAGAACCCCCCTCCCAACAGCAAAAGAAAGCAAGCTGACTGAGGGTCCAACTTGAAAAGAACAAGCTTCAGGTACCTGCGATTCATTAAGAGCAGGGGTATCCCACATGTTTAACCTTGAACTTCTTGGCATGTCTTTTGGTGTTTTGGTTCTGTTCATTTCCTTAGTTGGCTTGGATTGGTGGTTTGGGGATTTGAATCCATTGGGTTCCCCGGCATTGGGCCTTGTACCGAGTTTTATCAAAGTCAGCAGCTGAGCTTTCGAGTTTCCCTCCCTTTGACCTGCCATTTGCCGGGCCTACAACCCATCATTGTGGGTTGCTCCACGGTTGTTCTTGGCGTGTCTTGAGTTTTCGGTGGCCCCTTAGCGTCAGAAAGGACCCTCCAGAGATGGAAGCGGACCTCCATCGGAAGGTTGGCCTTTCCTTTTGTGGCACCCAGATTCTTATCCATTTGTATGGGTGGCTTCAAAACCTGTTTCTTTTGCTTACATGCCAAGGAACCACCTGTTGAGTTGGCAAACAAAAATGAGCAGGGTCCTTAGGAGAACACCAGCTGCCGATCAACAGAGCTGACCCCCATTTCATTTGATTTGGAGGATCCGAATCCTTGTAAAGCCAGTGGTTTTTGGATGTCTCCTTCAGAAGCTTTGGTCGGTTCCGGAGGCAACCAGGAGTTGGCTTTGGCCTGAGCACGTCTGGAGTCACGCCGGCGGCGCAGTACATGGCGAGACTTTAACCACGGTGTTCAGATGTGCATATCCAACTGGAATGCCCTCCCGCTTGCTCTGGTGGCAAAAGGGTGGGAAATCACGGGCTACGCTTCTGATCAGACCGCGAAGGACGTGGCGGGCATCTCGCTAACCCTGATAGCATGGGTGGCTTGGATCAGGGGTCCCAGTATTTCCTGTGTTTGGCGGTTTTACGCATCGCCTTTTTGCCCATAGGTGAGTTTTCCTCGGTAAGGGTGATGCCTGGAGGGGAAATTTAGGGAGGATGACTTAGGTTTGGATTGAACGCCAGTTGAATCAAGAGAGACATTAGGAGTTGCCAACCACAGAAAGGTTCTCCAGACGTTTGGGGGCCAAGGGGACTTCCTCACAACAAGTACCCTCCCACCCATGAAATTTGACTGAACATGTGTCCCTCATGTCGCTCTCTTGGTGCAGGTTCCTAGTTGCCCTCAATTGTTTCCCCCATTGTTGTGGCAAATCAGCACATGGCCTCCACCCCCAAAAAAGAAAAGAAGGATAAAGAACAAGGTTCCTTCCCATTCTTTTCGACCAGACAAAAGCCACTGAATTTGGAGCTCCCCTGCAAGCCTAAATGCTGTCCAAAAAGGGGCCCCAATTGAAGTTCAGTTGGTGTCTCAACATTGGGGGCCAAACAAATTCCTTTTGGCCTTCCTGTAAAGCTAAGCAGGGGTCCCCAAAAAGAAAGACTCTCCCAAAATGGTGTCTTGAAATTCTGGAACCGCGCCAGTGGTCGGTAGTCTTAAGGTTTCACCCACAGGGTCGGGCATGGGTCAAAACAAAGCAACCGGGGTTCCATGTACAGCCAGGCTGACAAACCACATTATTTTTGCATTCGG